TCAATACTTGCTCGTTCAGTGATGGAATATATCGCGGCAAAAATGACATCTTTACAAAAAACCACTAAGGGACTCAAAAGCTTTTTAAAATCCAAATAAATTCGAAAAAAATTGTATTTTTTTTCCGCAACAAAGGCGTGTATATTTCACGGACTAGTACGGCCTCTTTTATTATCCAACAGATTGTATACAATAGCATTTTACTTCGCTGATTTCAGTTGAAATATTGGTGTTTATTATTTAAATTTCACAACAACAAGATAATATTTTAGACTAATTGTTTCATATAAAAACTTATTCTATAAGATGGATCTAATAGGCATAGAACACTTTATTTCTCACGACAATTATTATTAGCAGTTTAGTGTGAACACCGTTTAAAATCGATTACATGAAATTTACAAAATAACGAACATTTTGTAGAATGTTTTATAAACAAAATTAACTTACAAAGCTAATCCGACAAAATCCAGGCGCAACAGAAAGGCCGTTGCCCTTCTAATTATTTAAGTGTTCTCATTTTGCTGTTATATATATATATATATATATATATATATATATATATATATGTCGGAGCAATGGCACTGGTATCACCTGTCACTATCATTACATATCACAGAGCTCGAAAGTCTAATCAGCTTATAGCCTCCAATACTTGAGGTTTTCACAGACTATTTGATAGCCTGTAGTAATAGTAGGTCATTACTTATCATAGTCATTATAATTAATTTGGGAGCGATTGTGTTGTGTTAGTGTTCCTGCGACTCTTCAAACAAATTCTTAAAATCTTAACTCAATCAATATAAGAACTAAAGTTATAAAAACCTGTTTATATCTTCAAATGCGTATTTCGACTAACCTTTCAATAAGATACATACAATGTTCGACAGTACGATAAATATAGGAACAGCTTCCCTTTAATCATAGAATGTGGGCGGAAGCAATCAGCTGTTATATATTCGAAGTATTTATTATTGCGATACGTTCTTCCATACGAGGATATTAAAAGCTATGAAGTTTTATTAAAAACTACACACAACGTACACTCTGATATATCGGCTTTGAGGCGTTATTAATATATGCATGCACAGTGTGATTAATGGATAGCATTAAATTTTGGTATTAAAAATGCAGCCTCCGTAATGCATATATTACACTAAAATCATAAATCTAATATATAAAATTCTCGTGTCACAGTTTTCGTTGCCATACTCCTCCGAAACGGCTTGACCGATTCTCATGAAATTTTGTGTGCTTATTGTGTATGTCTGAGAATCGGACAACATCTATTTTTCATCCCCCTAAATGTTAAGGGTAGTCCACCCCTAAATTTTTTTTTTTAATTTTTAGATAAATTGCTTATTTTTTATTTTTTTATGATACAACATAAAACAATACATACAACCCCTAACTTTCACCCCTCTACGATCAACCCCTATTTTTTATTATAAATGATATACATGGCAAAATGACGTTTGCCGGATCAGCTAGTAAGCTATATTTTTTATTAATATTTATACTAGCGCAAAATTACATAGCCTGCCATAAAATTGTTTCAAAAAGCTAACGCTGTGAGACTTAATAGGCCGGGAGATAGTCATAAGTTGGTCATACTGGTAAGTATGGCGGTTCTACAGTGGTCTTATTACGAAATGAAAAAAAGAATTTTGATGGTTATAGCGCTTCTACCGGCGGCCCAAGCGCGTGGGCGTTGGTCGAACTCGTCGGATTAAGTACAACTTTCAATCTTTTTGTTTCACAAAAATTCTAGTATTTTCGGATAGTCCATAAAAAAATAAGAGGCGGCAGTGTCATGCCATACTTCTCCGGTGTGTAAGCTCGCCAGGCTTTATTTATTGGTTTCTATAAAAAAAAATATATTTTATTATTAGACAAATATTATATTTATGAGACAATTTTTTTTATTTGAAAGAAAGCATTGTTAAGTGCCTATCTCATATCTAATCCACTGTTTTGCTGGTTGTTTTTTCTCAACAATAAGCAAAAATTACTAGTGATATTATTGTATTTTGTTTATTGAAACATTTATGTTTACCAAAATTGTCATATATTTTAGAAAAGATTACAAGGTATCTTGTCATATACCGCAGATACGATATTAAGTATAATGTGGTAATCTTCAATAAATAAATAGTGATATATAATTTAAATTGTATTTAACTTCTCAATATTTATTTCAAGTTTAGTACAGACAATCATATATCTGTGTCTTAATAACCTATTTCAATAAAGTTGTTAATGAATGAGTCAATCTCTCTTATCATGAAGCCCTAAGTATTTGAAAATCAATATAACCCTTCCGAATTGTATCGATTGGCACCTGTGACCAATTTGAACGGTTGAACGCGTTCGACTCGCAATATCATTAACATTCTCTTCACACCTTCGATCTTTCAATTTAACTTTGATTAATATTTTCACCCTTTCAACATATTAAACAGTATTTAAAATGCAGCTAATGGCTTCGTAGTTGAATTAATATGAAAATAAAAACAAATCGGTAGCGCGTCAAGCTTTTCAGATCTGGGCTTCAGATTTCTGTATGTGTTTCATGATCATTTGTCAATAAGCAAGTAGGCAATCAGTTTCATGTGCTTAGCACACACGTCGACGTTTTTGGTCTAAGGCAAACTGGTTTTCTGGCGATGTTTTTATTGACCGTTCGATCGAATTTTAAATTCGCACATATAAAAAAGGTCCATTGGTGCACAGCCGGGGATCGAACCTTGGACCTGAGGGTTGAGAGTCGCACGCTGAAGCCACTAGACCAACACTGCTCAATAAAAAATCTAAATATTTATTTATAAATATTTAGATTTTTTATTATTATTATAATACTAAATATTTAGTGCTTGCAGCTATAATAATAATTATTATTTAGGATTAGCATTATTATTATTATTATTTAGGGAACAAATTTAGTTCACTAAACGTCTTACCTAGCTTTTAGAGGAAGTAATAGAGATTATAAGTAGTTGTTTAGGTTTTGAAAACTACATCCAAAATCCATATGGTAAACAAATGATTTGATTATGAGCTTGTAATAAATAATACTCAGAAATTAATTTAAACTTCACAAAGCAGGCTATATATTTTAGTTTTGAGACATTGGGTTCATATACATGCCTGTGTACCTGGTGCCTCGAATCAACGTAGATATATGAATTAAATGTTTTCTTCTTTGTGTCTTTAATAATTTTGCTAAATTTAATTTTAATTTTACTAACATAGTTATAAGGATTACTTTACTAACAATATATGGATTTTTTAATGGTCTGAATTAAATGATTTTTATTTTATTTATTTTTTATATTGTATTATTACTTTAAATTATTATAAATTGTAACCTCTCATGATCACTTAGACGCAGTTATGTGTCTGTCCTATTGTCAATGAAGAAAAGAAGGTTCAATAAAGCGAATCGCAATCGATGTTTTGCTATTATCGGCTGTCCGGTGCAGTTGAATGCACACGACTAGCGATTTCCCGCTTAATTGAGAATAAACGATGTGCCAGATAGAATTTTATCGTGGAACTAAACGATTTTTAATATTGCGCAGCCACATTTGTTATTTAAACGTATTTATTTAGTAGGTAAAGACAATTTATAGTATACTAAATACATGAATAATTAATAACATTAATTGTTATGATAGAGAGAGGTCACTAAAAGTTATTGCGACGATTTTTATACGTTTGGTGGGCTTTTCATTGGCAGTGAACTCAGTTACCATCAGGTGCGCCATAATCTGGTTTGCCCCAAGTTTAAAAAAATACGCTGACATATTTTATATAAAGTAACTTTAATAAGGGTCTATATAATATATCCTTTTTTAAATTGTCATTATTACCATTACCAAAATTACTGAAACGCCTGACTTTTAGCACATGAATATTTAAAAAAAATGAGACATACTTCTCAAATACTCTCCATTAAAATGGTATTCAAAAATTTTGTAGTCATGATAAAAGGTTTACACAAAAATGTATTTACTATTTTTAAAAAGATATGTTTGTTTATTTCTGAGTTTGACCAAAAACATCAAATAAAAGATGTCGTGTTAGTTACACTATTCATTACTCAAGAACGGCTTAACAGTTTGGCTGAAAAATGGTGGGGAGGTAGCTTAGAACCAAGAGACGGACATAAGATACTTTTTATCCTGTTTCCGTGGGACATAAAAAAATGGTATAACAAAACGCAACAAACAGAAAAACGAACAATTTATCAGTGAAAACATCAGTCTACCCGTTAATTTGTTAAAAATTATATAACAAAATGCAACTGATAGTTAATCGTAATGTTATCTATGGTTGAGTATGATTGAAAATTCAACAATTTGAAGTTGATCGCTTGAATCTTTCCCGACAAAGCTGTAATACAAAAATGTCTGGACCGATTTTGATAAGTGTTTGAATGGATTAGAGAATAGTTAAGTTTATTTACAATTAGATGTTTTTTAAGTATGAATTTTTGTATTTAAGATATGTGTATAGGTCAGCGTCTGTGAAAGTGAAAACTGAAAATAATATCGCCACATCACAAATTCCTTACAGTTTACGAACTTTATTATAAAAAAACATCTTAAATAACTAACACTATAGGACGAGAGCAGTGGTGGCTTACAAAGCGATTAGTAATCAATGAGCTGTATTTATTTTTCCGCTATTGTATTTAAATACACAATTGCTTCCTTCCAGATAATACCTGCGTTTTGCGTTTTCCCTTTTTAGTAAATATATTCGCTATTTAAAGCTTTTGAAAAAAGCTTTTATTGAATATACAAAAATTGTTCGCAACGATTGCAGACATCTGGCAACGTTTAAATTTATATGTTTTTAAATATACAAAACATTATTATTAACTGTTATTGCATAACCAATGTTCCTGAGATTAGAAAATAAACAAGATAATTGTAAAAGCTTTTAGAATTACTTTGAATATTTAAAATGTTTTAATTGATGGATCATTGTTTCAGACGACGAGTTCGGTGAAAAATCCGTGTCCGTACTACTTGATGGAGAGGAGTCCGAGCTCATATTCATCGATCATCCGAGTACAGAAATGTCTGTGAGTGGCCATTTATACATATATTATTAATTTTTACGGAACGAGCAGGTGGTTGGATTAAAAAAAAATGAGACATACTAACTATATGCACCTATGATTGAAGGATAATGTTTTAATAATACCAAAATCTAAATCATTTTTATAAAAGCTCCATCCAACTTTTAACTGTAAATCTACTTATATAAAAAAACCAGTGATGCTACAACCCTTTTAGGTCTAGGCCTCAGATCACTGTACCTGTATCATGATCATATGTCAATCTAATAGGTAAGTAGGTGATCAGCCTCCTGTGCCCGACACACGCCGTCGACTTTTGGGTCTAAGGCAAGCTGATTTTAGATCATTATGTATACCTTATATATTTAATTATTACGTAGCAGTTTTCTCAATGTATATTTATAAATCGCCTTAAAAACTGTTGTAGAATTCCAGACGACAAGGCGAATTATTATAGTTACATTACAAAGAGATACCTATATTACGAAAGTAAAATATGAGAAATACAATGTCACGACTTACGCAATTACTACAAAAAATAAAACTTTTAAATTAAGTAAGATATCTCGACGCTTCGAATTATTCACAGCCTTTGGACTCAGCAAAGGTTTTATATAAGTTGAACACTTTAAATTACGCTAGGTACATTTATAATGTTTTTTTAAACAAGATGAAGTAAGCTTGTGAAGTTCTACACAATCGGACAAAATGATTAATATGTCAAATGAAAGAGGCTGCCCACGACACAGGGAATCCTAGTATGGGGGCTAGTGCACTCTCTGCTTTAACTAAACATTTTTATTATGCGTAATAATGTTTTTTCTTTCCTTTTCTTTTAACTATTTTTGAAGGCCTCATCGAAATCAGCTATTGTATGTACTATTGTTGTAAGTAACGGAGTACCAGTGCAAGTGCCTCGCCATTCTGTTTACACATAGCCTCTATTAGCATAACCGGAATGGGAGTTGTACGTTATGACTTTGTGTGAACACGTGTTCAACTAGTACTAATTAAATACCGTCAACTTTGCTTTTACCTCAAACGGATATTTTTCAGCAGTTTTATTGAGATATACTGACGATATAATATACCAGTTATTTAATTTACATTTAAACATTTATATAGCGGCCATTTTAATAGTAAAGTTGAGAGATGTGTACATGTCATCTCTCATTATCGATAAGTATATATAGAGGTATCGGATGGGGCTTGCGATAATCTTTTAATTATGTAACTAAATATATCTCTAACCAGAACACGAAACATAGATAAATGTTACTAATTCTCTACGTTACAAGACGTATATTCGAAATAAGATTACTATTACGGAGAGAGTAATCAAGGGCAAACAATGTAAGTAGTGATAGGAACGAGGAAAGATAGTAGCAGCTAAATAATGGTGCAGGAAGATACGTGTAGGATTACGCGTGAAGAAATGAAGGTAGAAAGTCAGAGGTAGGTACTGACTATGAACGATAGGAATATTGTCGTCTAGCGACAAAAGCACCACTCGAAACCATATAACGGTTTTGAACTAATTCCACTTTGATGTTATTTAATTAAAATTACAATAGCAGCTGATAGCAGCGCCATTTCTCCGATATATATAATGAGTATATATTATTTGTTACACATAAGTTATGTCATTCATTAGTGTTAGTACTTTAAATTTAAATAATTTCATTACATTTAAAATCTCCAGACTGTGAGACTGAACGATCTTTTATCAGGTGGAGAACTGCCTTTCAACCTACGAGCCGCATGCCTGCGTCGTGGTCTACTCGGTTGTCGCCAAAAGCTCATTCACCAGGGCAGCAGAACTGCTGGCGTACCTCGCAAGAGAACAATTCACTTGTGATAGAACTGTTGTCTTGGTTGGAAATAAGGCGGATCTGGCAAGGGCACGACAGGTTACTACTAATGGTTAGTAATATTAGCTTCTGTAATTACAAATAAAACAAAAATAAAATAATAATAAAATAATCAGTCACTACAACCTTTTTAGACCTGGGCCTCTGATTTCTGAATCTGTTTCATGATCATTTGTTAATCTAATAGGCAAGTAGGTGATCAGCCGCCCGTGCCTGACACACGCCGTCGACTATTTGGATCTAAGGCAAGCCGGTTTCCTAACGATCTATTCCTTCACCGTTCGAGCGAATGTTAAATGCGCACTTAGAAAGAAAGTCCATTGGTGCACAGCCGGGGTTCGAACCTACGACCTGAGGGATGAGAGTCGTAAGCCGCAAGCCAGTGGCCAACACTGCTAAAAAAAAAACAAAAATACAGATCCTTATTATATTTTGTTACAGAAGGAAAAGCTTTAGCCACATCGCGTGATTCCAAGTTTATTGAAACATCCTCTGGAATTCAACACAACGTGGATGAGCTTTTGGTTGGGATTCTAAAACAGATACGTTTGAAAGAGAGCAGAGAGAAGAAACAAGCAAAGAAGATCGGTAAACAGGTACATTTCCCAAAAAGAAATTAGTAATGTTGGATGAATGAAACACAGCTGAAATTTCATTTTGAAAACGTTTTATAAAGAAAATATTTTTGACTAAAAATCGATTGTAAACACGCTTTTTACTTATTTGTACAGGACTATGTACTCGTATTTAAAGTATTAGAAACTTCTATATATAATATAATACTAATATTCCAGTTCGGTTATATAATTGTTAGAATTTACAATTTTCTTAACCTACTTAGTTACTAGAATAGTTAAAAATTAATAAAAAGAATATTAAAACAAAAGTTTGGTCCCTGTGGCACCGGATCTGGGGTCACCCGTACTATATACCAACATAAATCTTTAATTAGCGCCTATGCACTTGAACCCCACGGCCCAAGTACTCCAAAGGGAACAAAAACTAAGTTGGAGGAAAGAATCTTAGACTTGAGCCGTTTTTTTTTTGCTTGTCTGGGGGAGGTGAGACGGGGCAAACATGTCCACACAAGTAGCATTGTGACTTAAATTGATTACGTCAAATACCTTAAAACATTAATAAGTATATAATTGTAATAAAATGTTTTTTCTTTATATAATAATAAGTTTATATTGTAGTGTGCCCAAGTTTATGATTTTTTTTTAACAGTTTTTTAAAATTGTAAAACTATTTGTCAATTCCCGTACTTTCACAACTGGCCAATGATTATTTAATCAAGCGGCGTTAAACAAACAACATTTAAACAACACAAATAATGTCTAGAATGTGGTGAATTACATAAAATGTTTTAACCCGTTGAAGTTTCTTGCCTCAGGGGTTGCTCTAGGCATTCTACCAAAGGGACTAAAGCCGACCAACAAAGGAATTATTTTTGAGCCGAATTAGCATCGTTAGTCTGCCATATGCGTTTAGGAGTAGTGAAATTTAATATTCCTGCCATGTTATAATAATCCAGTGGCGCTACAACCCTGTATTGTTCTTAGCCTCAGATTAAATACGTTACTTTGATCATTTTTATCTCATAGACTACTCATGTCGCCGATATTTTGGATTTGAGGCATGCACGATGTTTTCCTTCACCGTACGAGCGAGTCTTAGATGCTTAAAATACAGAAAGCCTACTGGTACACGGGATCGAACCTACGACTTCAGGGATCAGAATCGCAGATGGCGTAGTCTCGCTATTTTGCGAATTTTGTAAACGTTTTTGAAAAGCATGCGTTAAGATGTATCTAAACGTTTGTTGATTTTGATTTTGCACGCTGAAGCAATAGGCAATTATATTGTAGATTGCCTATTTACTTAATACTTGATCGGTAGCTGATTTCTTTAAACAATAAGTTATTACTAGAGTTTTTATAAATTATTATAAATAAACTTCTAAAAGTAACATTAATTTAAATCTAAACTAATTATAAATTACTTCATATATTGACTTTGAAAGTTTAGCCACATTTAACTAAGCTCGTTTATCGAACCTTAGCTTTCTGAACTTGATTAATATAAGATTAATAAGGTATACCAAAGCTTACAAACTTTGGTTTCATTAAATTATGTACATTAAAATATTTTATAAGAAATACCTTAAATATATAATTGACACAGGTAGGTTTGGATAACGTTACAGATAGACAGACTGACATAAAATTTATTACTAACGAAACACTCACACAGAAACAGAATATAATCATAATAAAATTAAAATAGTAGTAATCAAAAAAGAAAAATAACAAGAAATTGCGGAAAGAAAAATATAATGGAATAAGGAACATTTAGATGTACTAACCACTTCTTAGTAAAGACTAATAAGGTAGTGAAACTTACGCCTTAAATGTTACATTTATTTCCTGAAAAGTTAATAAACTAAGAAAATAGTAATCATGTATCAAAAACTGTTATTTGACAATTACGTCACTTATCAAACTGTTACCAATATATGACGGTATTTTGATATTATAAACAAATTAATCGTGAGCAGTGTTGGGTTTGCCGGGACCTGTGTTACCATAGTAACACTTATTTATCTTTCATTATATACACTTTGTATTTATCTGATTGAATTACATGGAATATTATATAACTAATATATACTTTTGTATACAGGACGCAAAACCTTCAAAGTTGGCCAGCTCCCGTACCCACATATCTCTCAGCATCGCCCGGGAGCTCCTTCATAAAATCTGTATCAACGATATCTCAAAATCAAAATCCTGTGAAAATCTTCATGTACTGTAAACCTAACTTGTCACGAATTTAAAACATATTTAGTCTATACTTGTTAAAGTAGTTGTAACTTCTTCAGTGAAGGTACATTTGTACTTCTGATAAATTTTGGCAACAAGAATTATTTTACATTGTAAACCACAAATAGAAAAACCTCGTTACCATAGCAACAGCCATGGTTCTTTGTTATAAGTCTTGGTTATAAGTTCGTGAACAGCTTCTATACAAAAATGCCTGAAAGGACGAAATACCGGCTTTGGATAAATTGAATTTTTATTTATTAATTAAAAATACCTTAATTTACTGTTAATCACAACAAAAGATTCACAGACAAAACAATTCCAATGTTGAAAATGTTAATCTATAGACAGAGGGCGAACAAAAGCATTTTTAATTTTATGTTTTGTTTACGGATCTTCCTTGTATTATGAAAACAATGTCTAGACAGGACGAGACAAGATAATAGAATCAACTCAATGCAATTGCTTTCCTTATGGTTTCGAATGAACAAGATTACGCGAGACAATTTGTATTACTTACATTATTTAAATGTTACCATCATTTGGATTTTTTTTGAATTTAATAAGATAATAATGTGCTCTTTGAAATTGTTGGCAAAGTTATGATTATTTAGTTACTACCAACTATACTACGATAGCTAACAATGAAGACATTCAGTATTTCTTTCTTAATAACGGTCGAAGTATAGAAATCTCCAATCAAAACTTTCCACTGAAAGGCCTATTCCAGACATTATAATCAGCAGTATTAGTAGGTTCCCATTGTGACGAGTTCTTCATTAAATTTGTTTATTTTCATCTTCTATAATTCATCTTAATCCTCTTTATAGAGCCACAGATGGAGTAAAAACACTAACAGTTTTAACATCAACAGTAAAAAAACATAGGAATACGACACTATTTTCAACAGATGTTAAAAAAACAAGCTATGTATTTTCATGTTATTCCCATATTTCGACAAATTACTTAAAGAAATAACGTACCATATCCAGATTTCATACTGCGTAGAACTTTCACAAGTAAACTTAACTTATGACGTGTTAACGTAGCACTTTCGTAGCAATTTCGCTACGTCATCTAATGTAGCGGCACAAAATTAGGAGCAAATAACTTGTACAATAGGAAACTTTTGTGAGAACTTTTTATTGTATAGATTCTAATTATATGTTTCTGAATAGTATTGTGTAACTTGTGTTGTACGGCCTTAAGGAATATTCGATATTTGAATTTTGTTTTACCATTTTTTTTTGGAGTTTATGGCCTGGTATCTAGACCTTTAGGCTAAATTTGTTTTACCATTTTAATCTTTGAGCACTGATTACTAATACTATAATTTTAGAGATTCAAATACATTGTATTCTGTATCTGTTTCCTTCTTTTCTCTGTCTACCATTGTTTTAGGGTTCATATTTGGAGGAAGGATGTTAATCTTCAGGGTATGACGTTACCATACTGATCGTAAGCTCAAATCGTAGGTGTCACTTCATATAAACACGTTAAAGATAGAAGTTTTTAAATATAGAAATATAATAATCCTCATATTTATAACAACTTATAATCAGTCTAAAAACGTTTTTACTCAAGTACATTTTCTCTCTATCCGTCAAATTGTGTTTACGCTGTCATTAAAACAGACAGATATACTTTAAAATTAATAAAAGATCACCTAGTCAGAACAACATGATCATATTCTTTAATAATCCTATTGAATACTTTTTATTATGTTATACTAATTACTATTTACATAACTATAATTAAAATCGATTTCTTTTTATAAAGTATAGATGTTTAGAATAGTTATTGTTAATATCAGTATTATAACAAATTACGCTTGCACGACATTCATATTCTAGAATACTAAAAGTAAAATTTTATTAAAACCATAAGTAATAAACATGAAATGATTATAGACTATAAACAATGTCTGGACAATTTATTTTTATGCTGTGTGTGTGTGATAAATCAAAAATAATTGTGAATGATACTATTTTGTTCATAACTTGTGTTTTAAAATACCGTCGCATTCACAATCATTTTAGCAATCTGAGTTTTCTACGTCCTGTTCGCGGTCTACTATACAAAAATACTTTGTACTGAAAATTACATAAAAGTAATCTAAGAATATGAACGTCATTATATTAAGATGTTAACTGTTAGAATATTCACTATTTTTCTATTCAAAACAAACTTTCTACGACTTTTGTAAGGTATTTATAACTATTAGTAAGGAAGAACGAATCAGTAAATCGTAAATTTTAAATTAGCTTTTATCAATAAAAAATAAAAGCACCAACAAGTGTAGAACCTTTATCAACGCTGCAATATCGTTGTATCATTCTACACTACAAAAGTAGCTTTTATTATTGAATAAAAAAAAATTACACACAAAATAAACTAAAGTAAAGTAATTGAATTACATACAGGCTATTCAGGCTTAACCACTAACTGCACATCGGAAAGTTGTTTTTCTTAACATTTTCTTAAGTGACCATTGAAAACGTTATTAAAATTACATATAACATAAATTTAAATTACATAAAATATATTTTTATGTGTCAACAATAAATCCCATGTGAATATATAATCAAAATAATCTGCAAAACGTTTCCATTTAGTAACGGTTTCATATTTTTAGCTATTTTTATACGTCTTGCTGATTGTTCTTCACTACTACGAATATCCATTTCCTTATAGTGGGAGAAAGAGCTTTAAATGTAGTTTTCCCGTACGTTTAGTATATACATTGTTATAATCCAGACACTTCCTTCGTAGATTTTTCATTATTTGATTACGTAGTGACCTCCATTTTATTGTCATTGTATACCGTAGATATAAGAGTATATCTGTTAAGTGTATGTTATTTCAATATCATGCGATATCGGTCTGTTTATTGCAGGGCAGGGAAAAACCTGATGTTGTTTATGTGTTACATACACAATCGAGAGTTTGTTAAGCGCTAAGTTTCCCATATATCAAAAATGTATAGGACATACATTTTCCTCTGACTCTGAGGGCGTACCAATAAGAGCGATACGGAGACAGTATTCGGGCAAAGAATAATGAATTGTTCTGTTGTTTTTTTTTTTATATAATAGGGGGGCAAACGAGCCTACGAGACGCCCAAAAAGGGCAGTCATCATGGCAGGCACAGACACCCATTTTTAATTGGTGCGTTGCCGGCCTTTATTTCTACGTAAATCATTGTAACGACAGATCGTAAGTGAGAATATGATATTTAACTTTTTGAATCCACATAAAATAATCTCAATACCCGAGGTTAGTTAGGTTTTATGTTGATTTTGAATAATATGAGCAGACCGATAACGTAAACGCCACTCAAAGTCTGATTCTTCTTAGTTATAAGGTCTTCAAAAGAAAAGGGATACTAAATTTTTTTCAGTCAGAGCACCACTGGAAATAGATAAAAAATAAATAAATAGACATCCCTACTCATCGGCAAAGAAGACAGAGGGTGTAGGCCGAGAGAAAAACCCGGCGTAAAAAAATCTAGGTGCTCTTTTATAGTTCAGGATGAAACGTTCTTAAATATAACATCACGTTAACATCGTGTTTCTAATTAATATATTCCAAAAACATTTTAATATATGTTCTTGGCACGTAATTACGCAAGTTTCAACATGTTGGGCGATAAAGAAGAGTTTTATGCAGCTAATTTATTAGCCGGAAACTCGGAAGATATATTTTTAGGAAGAAACTTCATAAAACTGTCATAAAGCATCCTTTTTCTTTTGAAAACTTAGTAGAAATGTTAATATTTTTGGTGTTTAAATACTATTTATGTAACTTGACATAGTTGAAAATAAATAAAAATTTCAAAAGAATTCGTTTTATTACATCCTGAAGAACTGAAAATTTGATTTTAGTATGAACACGTTTATTTGGTATCAAAAGTAATTAGCCGAACCAACCAAATCATGCTCCAAGCGAAAATTGACTCCGACAAAGTTACTTGTAAGCGTTTGATGACCGGGGTCGTTCACTATAACTTTCTTAAATCTGGCCAGACGATTACGGCAAATTTCTATCGTCGGAAACGGCAAACTATGATGGAAAAGCTAGCTGCTAAACAAGCAAGGCTGGTTAATCGCCCCAGGCCACTGATGCTTCACGACGCTAGACCACACACTGCACAACAAGCTTATATAAAAACCAAAGAGGGTAGAAAGCCTCCCTTGTCAAGATACACTTGAATTTCGACGTGACGATCTAGTGTATCTTTACAAGATAATACATCATTATATTCACACGGAGTTGCTTGCCAAAATTCAATACAGTCTCTGGTTGACTAGAAGCATATATCCTTTTTACACGCCTGTCTCAAATGTGTGCTCATCGTATAATGGTCTGTGATTAAAAATGACTCGGTGTAGATTTTCAGAAACACCGTAAAGACCTTTCGCGTGTCGTTTTAGCAACTTTGCATTCTTAATTATTTTCGAATATTATTTCTTTCTTTCGCTTTGTCATATTCCTACCTAATTGCTATATGAATTGACATTTATGTATACACGTAGACGCTTGGCGGGCCAGTGCAATTCGATACAAAAAGTCCCCTCGGGAGTTGTGTGCTGAAATATTGCGGGCTACTCGATTGTGAGGAAGATGCGTGGATCTGGTTAGCGCTGCGCCTGATTCGTAAGATCTCATGTCATTTTCACACATAGGTATCTTACAAATTGTATAAGTGTTATTGTCTTCATTAAAAGATGTACATAAATACAATAAAATAAAAGGCAACGCATTTTTTATATGCAACTATAAAGGTGATAAGAGAGAAAGATGATGAAACAAGTGTCATATGAAAGTCAATAATGAATTTCAGCGTTACTTTTAACTCACTGGCTTACTAACTAAGCGTAAAAACCAGGCAATACAATCAATGAAAAATTCAATTCCCGACGCCTTGGCTGAGAAGGTAAAAGTTCCTTTTTTACTATCAAAAAAAATATAATTGAAAGAGTTCTTAAGTTA